CCAATGTCCACCATTTTCTCCAAATCAATGGTACCTCCTCCCTGTACAGATCCATGGACGTGGTATGGGGAATCTTGCAGCGCGTATAACACGTCTTCAGTTGCGACATTTCCTGTAGCACCCGGCGCGTAAGGGCATCCACCGAGTCCGCCTACCGACGAGTCTATAGTCCGAATTCCGTGTTGCAGAGCTGTAAGAACATTGGCAACGCCAGTCCCATACGTGTCGTGGAACTGCGATCATGGAGGCTGAACAACATCATATGTATCGAAAGCATATCCACTCACATGTCCCTAGAAGATTTTGAGTCAAAAATCTCGAACAAAAGTTTATCAAGTTACACACCGCTAACTTCTCCACTGGAACGGCTTTCTTAACCTCCTCAATCATATCGGCGACCTCATGTGGTCGTCCCTGGCCAATAGTCTCTCCGAGGCTCACCTCATAGCATCCCATATCCAGCAACTCCCTCGTCACGTCCCTAACGCGCCTAGGATCTACCTTGCCCTCGAAAGGACACGCAACAACCACGCTAACATACCCTCTCACGCGTAAGCCCTTGTCCAACGCAGTCCGCGTTACCCTCTTCAGATTGTCCAGCGACTCCGCAACGGAACAGTTCAAGTTTCTCTTGCAAAATGATTCTGTAGCGGCGGTGAATATCGAGATTTCATCGGTCAAGGGAGAGGACGCGGTATGCGATTCAAGCAAGGCGAGGAGATCCTGCAGCCCCCGCTCATTCGGCACGAGCACGGCGTAATGCACGCCAGGCAGCCTGTCAATGCCCTTCAGCACTTCTGCAGTGCCTGCCATCTGTTATTTTCCGATCCAATGAATACTGTGAATATACAATACAGAAACCACATCACCCACCTGAGGAACCCACTTCGGACTGACAAAGCTCCCTGCCTCAACATTCGTAACTCCAGCCCGTCCCAGCCTATTGATCAGCTCCACCTTGAGGTCCACTGGTATGATAGTTCCCTTCTCGTTCTGTAGCCCGTCTCGTGGGCCAACCTCCACGATATTCACTGTAGACTTCTGTGGTTGACTAGCGTGGCCGGCAGGGCTGGCAAATGTCCGCTTCGCAGCAATGGTAGATCTGACACCTGCATGGCTCCAGCGAGAGACAGGTAGCCTAATTGGCATACATGAAGATAACATCGAATGAGAAGAGTTAGACGCGCTTGCGAACTGAGGTATGGGAAGTTAGAATCAGGGAAGTTCTCAGAGCTCAGAGAAACATGAACTGCTGGCACCCGATGTCCAAAGGCTGTGAACGTAGATTTTGTGGCTTTGAATAAGAAGAATAGGATGTCCGACAAAAGGTTGCCTGTGCACTGTGGAGGTTGTTTACGAACCTCACGGATCTTGCGCGACCCGAACGAACGCAATTTGCGGGCCGGGCACCCGCACCTTAATCTCCATTGACATGACTGGATAACAGATGGTAGGGAAACTGACTATATGTAGCGATAGATCTAGACGACTAGTGGAAGGAAGGAGAAGAGGAATGGTAACAACAAGATACACATAAGAGGTCAACAAATTCACTTGCTGAATATTACTACCGTCCATGAATGGAATGAATGATGATAGGCTCTCCTAAACACATTAACACCAAGAAACATCCGTCTCGGAGGGATATCCATCAGGGACTTGAAATATATCGGCAACAACACAACTCAAATAGACACCAACTCCCAAACCACAATTCCACTACTTGGCTGGGCTAGCTTCAGTCTTCTTATCTTTCTGATCCAAACTAGCTCGAGCCATCTTGCTCTGAAGGTCATCGTGGTCGTTAGCGGATATATCGTCCGACTTCTTAGTTGCTACTCCCGCTTGGTATGTGACATCGACGTTCTGTTGCGCGAAAATCAGCTTCAGGGTAGTGTCTGGAGCACGATGAGACCAACCTCGAGGTTTTCCTATGAACAGACAACCCAGCTAAATTGAAGACATGCATGTGAAGATAAATTGGATACGCACCCTGGCAGATTCCTCCTTATACTTGCTGATATCTTCCCTCATCTTGACCATTCCAGTGGGGTCGGAGTGCGCAAGCGAAGCCATCCTGTTCACAGCCTTGATGCTAAATGCAGCCTTCCGCCCTACATCACAAATAATCAATTCCCCCTCTTGTCGACATTCAAAATAGCAAAACATACATAGTTGTTTGGCGTTGAACGCCTTCTTCACGTTCGGTAGCAGGTCTGCCATTCCTCCATCAGCACGCATGACGAAGTGTGGTTCCTTGTCAGCCAACCACTAGACCATTTCGACAGTCAGTCATCGCTCGACCTTTCACGCAACACCATATGACATACCTTGTGTTGCAGAGCACCAGCAGCGGTAGGGCGGTTTGTAGGATCAATCGTCAAACAGGTCCTGACAAAATCTTTGGCAGTCTCGGAAACGTTCTGCCAGTACTCTTCCGGCTCAAACTTGTAATCTCCTGCAATGATCGCTTCCATCTCTAATTGTTGCGAATCGCGGTCAAACGGTGTGTATCCGGCCAGGAGGAAATAGGTGATCACGCCCATCGCCCAGACGTCAACAGGTTTACCATGTCCAGCTGTGAAGGTATTAGGATACAGTGCTGAAAGTGAAGTAAAATGTTAGGCTAACATTTCTTGAAAATTTCTGGAGCCATGTACTATGAAGGGTGTCATTGACATTGTTCAAATATTAATTTCGAGGAAGGACTAACACCAGGTGTCCCACAAATCTCTGTCAAAAGATTCAATTTCTCCTCTTCCATGATTCTGCTCAACCCGAAATCGGCGAGCATGATGTCGGCATCTTCAGCTTGAGTTCTGAATAACAAATTTTCGGGTTTGAGGTCTGAGCGTATGGGGATTAGCGCCCGTCCGAAACGATAGGGGGGTAGACACATATACATACCTCGGTGTACAATGCCCGAATCGTGAATGTATTTCACAGCCTTGAAGATAGTGCGGACGAGATCAGCAGCATCGCTGATACACGGCTGGTTAGACCAATGAGCGTGGGCGGTATGGAACCTACTTACGCCTCGTAGTAGTTGCCTTTAGCACATATGCGGTCGAAAAGTTCGCCGCCGGTGCAAAGGTCGAAGCAGAGATAGAGGTTATGTGCCGTCTGTCAAGCACATCAGCCAGCTGACAATAAAAAATGCTTCAAGGCTTACTTCAAAGTAATCGTGAAGAGTGACAACGTTGGGGTTCCCACTTGAGATACGCTTTAGGACAGCGATCTCATTGCGGACCTGTTGAAGTCGTGAGCAATCATCGATGGATTCCGATAAAAATTGACGACGAACCATGTGTTCGCGACCCTCCATGAGCCTCTTGTTGATCACTTTACAGGCATAGTATTTGCCAGTCTCCACATGGATTGCTTCCTTTACGATGGCATATGTGCCGCTGCCGAGGGTCTTCCCCGTTCGGTACTGTGGTACGTGAGTACTTGGAAGGAGAAGATCGAAGATGGCGAGGACATACCTGACAAGGAACGGTAACTGGCATAGGAGGTGAGGGTGGGCGAGCAGGTAGTGGTTGCTGTAAGAGAAGGGAAGAGGGTTAGATGGCGGTCTAACGGTCAAGATGTGATACAATCTGACTGGTTCCATTACATAACACAGCCACCGAAAGCAGTCCTGCCTGGAATTGCACAGAAAATAGAGAAACATTTGAACTCACGGCCGCAGCACTCCTTCTCTTCGTCTCATATATTGGCGTTTCATAGTCGCTCGTTGTCGCCACCTCACCAGCTGCACTGCCAGTATCCCGTGTTGTAGAGCTGCTTGCACCCTCCTCCCCGTCACCACCCGCAACCTCTTGGGGTTTGCTTGTATGTCGGCCTCCAAGCACAGACTTCAGCTGGTCAGCTCTCGAATACCGCTTCAGACGGTCAATGGTTGTTCTTGGCGTATCTTGTGTATCTTGTTTGCTTTGTGAGGTGCCCATAATGGTGCGTGACTCGAATGTTCAAGAGAGGGAATGAGGTGGTGTTACCAAAACTGTGGACAGGGGCCTGAAGGGGCCAAGGGACGTTTATATCACCAAGACACCGCCACGCCTTGTATGCACCACCCTGTCTCGCCTCCGCCGACCTTCTTCGCAGTCACCAAGGTTGAATGCTGCACTGCCACGCCGCTCAGGCATTTTAATCATGTTCTGACATTTTTCAGCGCTCAGCGCTCGCCTTTCTGACTACAATCGACGGTCAGGGAAAATACCTTTCAGGAAACGGGAAGTCTTCAAGGATGCCTGGAGAACATTCTACATTCTGTGAGGGGTCCAGGCGCTACTCTCCAAGCATAAAGTAACACATGCCGGACACGAGGCCGAGACCACGATCCCAGTGACTAACAACACATCGTAAACTTCTGAGCCGGTTTGTGATCATATCTACTCAATCGTGTAAGAACCAGGAAAACACATATCCGTCTCTTCGCTAGGACAGACTTCGGATCTTGATGCTGACTATCCCTGTTTCGAACTGTGCTGTTTCGATCCATGGGCGACTGTATCGCGTTTTGCATTTGCTACGGTATTTGTGTCGAGATGCAATCCAGGCATCTGCCTTCGCCAACAACTGCATGCCAAACACTTCTAATTCTACTCATCACGGCGTTCATCGACAAAGTCACAGAAGCGCTTCTCAACGACTACTTCTGCTTAAATACCTTCTAATACCCACATCTTTCGTTCGAAAGTCTGCTCCGGTCATAACTCCTTGTAAGGGCAATAGTTGAGCAACAGCGTCCTCAGGGTTTGATGACCTTCACATATTCGCGATGCATATGTACATTGACACCGCTGTACTTGCTGCGGGATAACTGCCATGCGCTTGGTTGTAATCTCTATCCAGCCAACAACATTCCGTTTCTACGCAGATCAGATCAACGGTCTACCTAACAATACCTTCGCCGCATGTCAATTCTATTAATAAACCTATATTGTCATTCAGATCTCTAAAGAATCAGAATGACACGTCATTGAGCATCTTTCACCTGCCCCATGGCTTAGTTGGTTACGGCGTCCGACTGTTATTTCCAAAGCGCATCGGAAGATCGAGAGTTCAAGTCTCTCTGGGGCAGATTAGGAATATTACCTATTCTTTTTTTATTCTTTTTCATCTTTAAGGACCAACTCATCTGTGTGAGCGAAGGCGATCGCAACTGGTGAAATGAAGAGTTTTTGGGGAGTGTCAGAATGTGAATCCAATAATCATGTCTTTAGGACTGTACAAAAAGAGGGTGAAGAAGGACCCGATGGATGATATTACATATGGCCCCTGGCTGTTAATAAAGATATGATGGTAGGGGATAAATGATAGACCGCGGAAATGAGTTTGCTGTTCGTGGGGCCGAGAAAGGTAGCGCTTGTCGTTTACAAAGAATTGAAAACATAATATCTACCCAGCTCCTCCTTCTAAAGCTCTGACAATCCCAAATGCAGCAGCGGCTGCCAGTCCCCCTACCATTAGGGTGCTGAATGCGCCCCAAACATAACCAGCTGGGGTTTGGCTTGCACCCGTTACGCGTGCTTTTACAGCGCCAAAGATGAGCAACACAATCCCCGTGACGATCGATGAGTATATCAATGCAATGTGTGCCCGAGGAATGAAGAAATAGGGCAGGAGGGGAATGAGTCCTCCAAGGAGGTAACCCATGCCGATGGTGAACGCCGAAACATACATTCGACGGTTGGGAATTTCCTCTGAGAGAGACCATGTAAGATTGGTACAAATATGGATGAAGTTTGGAACCTACCCAATCCTTGTCCGAATTTCAAAAGGAACGCAGTCAACCCGACTTCATTGCTCCACCGCAAACTCGCGCTTTCCGCGTCTGTGCCTCTACCACCAGAAAGAAACCCGCTTCCTTGTTCTTCCTCGACTTCCCGCAGAGACTGTGCAACAGCACGGCAGGTTTTATCGTCGACCCCAACAGGGCCCAGTACCGCAGAAACTTCCCGTTCCATCTCCCCTGCACAACTACGAATTACCCGCTGCGCGGTGTGGTGTCGGAGATAACGATAATGATCCCGCTCCGACTGAGAAGCAAGGAAGCCACCAATGCCCATCGAAATAGCTCCTGCGATAAGCTCGGCAATACCGCCTAGCACAACAAGTTTTGATTCTCCGAGAGAAGAAAGACCCGCCGTGAGCGCGAATGGCACAGTGAGCCCGTCGGAGAGGCCGATTACCCTAGGATAGATAAGAAGGTCAGTTGGTGGCAAGCGCGTTTCGAGTAGTATGCTTACACGTCACGCACAACGTCGGGGTCAATGAGGGTTCGCTCATCATGTTTTAATTCTTTGCAGCAGATACCGTCTTCGCGAGCATTCCGAGCACATTTAGCAGCCGGTGGTGTATGTACACCAGGTTCGGAAGCATCGATTGGCCAAACTGGCGGCTTTCTCTGTTTTACAGGGTTATCTGGTCGCGGTGGAAGGGGAACTACAGTAGGAGTTGAAGAAAGAGAAGAGTCGGACATGGTGGTGGCGAGGAAAGAAAGAAAACAGGAGTGGAGGCATCGGCAGAATATTACAAACTTAACAAGTCACCGACGTGACGTACGGACGGTCCGGTGAAATAACGACCTGGCCAATCAGGGCAATGCTATTTCTAAAGCACTACCACTTTTGGATCGATGTCTTCACTTTCGTCTCCTGATATCCATTCAGGATACTCACTCGCACAAACAGTATCTATCCGATATCAGCAACCAGTCCACGACAGAACATCAAACTCACTTGATCCTCAACCACGTCAAAAGTCAACGTGGACTCTCCCCAGAACGCGCTGTTGTACGTCACATATTGTCCAGGCTCCTCGTCCGGCTCCCTCAAAACATCTCTGGACGAATACGCGAACACCACAACCCGGACCTGACTTTGCGTTCTCGGATCATCTGTGGCAACATTCACTTTATAAATGTCCCCATTCTGGGTCACAAGCGGCTGGCCGTCCTTCGCAGACACCCGATAGAGCTGATTCACGGCCCTTCCACTTCCTGGCTCTGCCACTTCCATACGGTCCAACTCGAGAGACCTTATTTTGATAGTGGCATCAAACGTGTATCTGACCTTATATGGGCGGTGTTCATTATGACCAATGGAGCAATGAAAGACGAGGACGATGTAGCGGCCTGCAGTCACGACACTTGAGATTCCAGAGCCAAGTCGTTTGCAGCATCCTTCACTTGAGGCGATCTGTAGGCGCGAGTTGAGTTGCGCCAAGGTGTCACCCTTTATGGGCTCTCCATCGGTGTCAAAATGGGGCAGATGATCGTTGTTTAGGTCAAAGGGTCCGTAAATCTGAACCAGAGCATCCATTCCCTTCAGATAAGTCCACGATCAGAGTGTATCTTAGATGCTACCAGTTTCTCTTACCTCGAACCTGATGTCCAGGAATCCAGCAGATCTAGATACGTTAATCCCAAAAAGCTCATGAGTCCCCTTCATCTGTGTCAACCTGAACTGTGGTACCCCTTCTTCGAGCTTTATTGGCGCATATCTGCGACTCGGGATATACACACAACTTTCTGGGGGTACCTGTGGATCGCCGATGATTCCAGGGGCCATTGGCACTGCTATCAAGTCAAAGACTGGCGATGTCGCCACCCCAATCTCATACACAGCATCGACAGCTGGTCGCTTTGTCATGTCGTTCTCGTCTTCTAGGATGATCGCAGATGCCACAACGTAGTAGGAGCCCCTTTGCAGACTCCAAACAAAGCTAGTTGCTGCTTGGGTTCTGTCCTCGTCTGATTCCATTGGAACGCTTTCTCCTTTGAACCCATCTTTCATGAAAGTCTGCTCGAATACCTCTTCATAATTCCTGTACACCTTGATCGTTAGGTTGGCTCTATCAGGCCCAATATTTCTGGCCGCGATCAAATATCGACCTTCACGTTGAATATGGAGCGGGAACACTTGATGGGTCCGCTCGTTCCTTGTTGCAGGGAGATGGACGACAACTGGAGTTACGCTGTTGACTGAAAGCCTGGTGCTGGTATCGTAGCAATACCCAAGAAGCCTTTATTTAAGGCGTCAATATTTCGTTCTGAAATCCTTGAATTCCCTTACCGGTAATCAAGAGCATCCCGCGCGCAAAGAGTGTATGGAAAGCATGGTATCATGGATTGAAGTTCTCGTTGAGTTTGTGTGGCGCCATCATCCCAAGGCCACATATTACTGGAACTCATGTGAGCGAGAATTTTCATGTATATATCTTCCATGCGCTTACTCATCCAAGTTGTGTCCATCTGGATAAGTGTACTGATGCATAGGGTTTCCGTTCAAAGCCGACTCCATATCGGCATACAACCATAAAGCGTCACTTCTCTTGGGATAGAATCTGAACCATCGACGCGTCAGTGGTATCCATTTACGATAATACATACACGAAATCTTACATTGGTCCATAATGCCCCGAGTCTTGCCACTCGGCCCAGATGCGATCTACATTGCAATGGTGTAGGAAAAACATTGGGTCGACCGATGCGCAGGCAACATTGGTCATGGTCGACGCCCCAATGAGTTGGTCATCTTGGAGAATAGTCGTATGGAATCCAAACCAGTCGTGGGTTTCTGGGGCATGCCGCAATTCAATTATACGCCGACAGACACCCAGATCATTATGCACTTACGGTTATGCATGTGCGGACCTGCTTCCGTCGACCAACGAAACCCTGGAACGATTTCACCTGAAGAAGCAGACGAGTCAATGAATTGCGTCTCGTCTAAGATGGATATACTTGCGCAACGCCAACAACACATTATCTCCAGTCGTAAGAACCTTGTCACATGCATCGTATCCATCGATACTCCGTTCACCTGGCGCTACTTGGGCAGATGGCAGCGCCGAAGTTGGCAACGACTCTCCTATATGCAGTGTTCCTCTAGGCAAGTTGGACGCATCTCGAGTCTCATCCGTAGCATCTGGGACAGTCTCCACAATATCTGACCTTATCACCAGTTTGTCAGGACCGAAAATCGCTTTCCGCTTGGTGAATTCGATTATATCAGCGGAAGTCGCAAGGTCCTCGAAATCACCAAGATATCGGACCACCGAGCGGCCCAAAGACGCCTGTTGCATGGTCGTTAAATCACTTTCCTCGGGCGGGTCTCGATCAGTTGGTTCGCTTGGAGAAAGTGGAAGGAACCAAGAGGGACGATGGAGAGCTGTGTTTGAGCTCCACCCTTCATGTAACGTGAAGGGGCCATTTACGACAGCACCTCCTGAGCCATCACGCCCACCATTCCCGCCCATCATCGCCGACGCGAAGAATCTCTTTGAGAAAGCATGATCTGTCCAATCCCAACTATGGGACCCGAAAGTGATCAATTGTTAATCAGTATCGAGTAAATATCACTTGCTAGGGCAATGTAACAGATGGATCAATAGCCTGCAATGCGCTTTCGAATTCCCTGAGGAACTGCCGATGCCACGGTAAAAACCTGCATCGACCATGGAAGTAAATATATGCGTCTCAAAAGTGTCAGAGATCATATTTCCTAACCCTGGGTTGTCATGAGCAGGATCAGCTGTTCCCATTTCATTCCTTGGCGCCTGTGGGTGGGCCCGTCTCCAGGCGCGATTCATCTCGACCCCACCCATGTGCATTGCAGAAAACTCATCATAAATCGAGACAACTCCTCCTGCACGAGTACGCATCTTCATAACCTTGAGTGCGTTGACAAACCGATTCCATTCTTCGGGTGAAAGGTTCTTAGCATTCTTTCGGACGCGGGTGCCAAGAGTTCCAGGATGATTGTAAGTGGGCATCAGTCAGTGTGGCGCAGTGGTGAGAGTTACTCTCGAAGTTCTAGCTTATGATAGAAAATCGAGCTTTGGAAGAGCAACAGAAAGAGCAACAGAAATACAGACTGGTTGAAGATATTGATCTCTCAAGAAATCGGAGGAAGTGAAGAGTACAAGAGACCTTTTCTGATTGGCCATGTTTTGTAGTAGAAGCAAAATGAGGCCATCGTAAATCATTGAGTCAAAACAAAGTCCTGCCTATAAACAGCAGAGAAATATAGTGACTCGTATTCCACGCAAAAGCAACATAGGTAAGTATCTGAAGAA